TCACACACCAGTTCCTCAGAGAACCACACTCCAGTTCCTCATGATGTTGTTAAAGCCGTGTTCAAGCAGTTCTTGTCTCAGTTGTCTGACTGTATCTGTCTGACTGTGAAGGGAAACTGATCCACTCCATGGTGGCTCACCTGGACTCTGTCACCTGTCTGGCTGTGGATCCAAACGGACTGTACCTCATGTCTGGAAGTGAGTGTTCCTCAGTTATTAACATGATGTTTGATGTTTGACACAGTTTCTAATGTTTCTGTATCAACAGGAAACAAACAGACGATTGTGTTTCTGTTGTTTCTGTTGGTGATGGTTAATTAATGAAAGTCATTAATCCTCATGTCTCCTTCTCTCTCTCCTTGTTTCCTTCGCTCTCCTTGTTTCCTTCTCTCTCCTTGTTTCCTTCTCTCTCTCCTTGCCCCCCCCCCCAGGTCACGACTGCTCCATCCGTCTGTGGAACATGGAGAGTAAGACGTGTATCCAGGAGTTCACCGCCCACAGGAAGAAGTTTGAGGAGTCGATCCACGACGTGGCGTTCCACCCTACCAAGTGCTACATTGGCAGCGCCGGGGCTGATGCGCTCGCCAAGGTCTTCGTATGACCTGAGCCTGACGGACGAGTGGAGAGGAGGAGGAGGAGGGTGGAGTTTGGAGGAGGGTGTGTCCACAGACTGCTCCTGTTAAGATTCGTCACGTATTGGTCCCCGCCCGCCTCCTGGACTCAGGCTGGCCTGGGTCCTGAAACAAACCAACCTCTGGATGAGACGATGAATGAAAACAGAAAGCCTCGGTACATTTTACAAACGCTGGAATCTTTTCTTTCTCTTTTCTCCGTCACAGGTGAAGATACAAGCTCCACCTCTGTCTCCGTCACTAACCCCAGACACTCGCTCTGAGGTGTTCGTCATGATAACGTGCCTTTTTTCTTCAGAACACAGATTCTTTGAGGTGTTTAGAGGACGTGGGAGGAGCTAAGGGGATGTGAGAGGAGCTAAAATGCAGTGGGAGGAGCTGAGAGGACGGTGGACTGACGGACCTGCTGCTGGATTTCTGCTTTAAATGAATCTGGTTGAGTTTTACTTTTGAAGTTGTGCCTGGAGACGACGACTTCTGTTTCACCCTGTAAAAGCCCCCACAGGAGGTGAGAGGTCAAAGGTCATGACCCTGAGTGGACAGTCGAAACATGAGGGCAGCGGCAGGTCAGATCACAAACACCTGAGGAGTTTCATTTCAAAATAAGAGCCTTCTGAAGGCAGTGACTCCTGCTGGTCTGAAACCAGCTGTAGAACCTGTAGTCAGAGCAACCACAATACAAACACACTGTTGTCATGGCGACATGTCCGAGCAGCACTGTGCAAACATTTGAGTCACTTTAGATGTTCACTCTTCATCATCATCATCATTATCATCATCACCTGGTCCTCACAGTCACTTGGTCCCCACAGAGACCTGGTCCCCACAGAGACATGGTCCCCACAGAGACCTGGTCCCCACAGTCTCCTGGTCCCCACAGAGACCTGGTCCCCACAGAGACCTGGTCCCCACAGAGACATGGTCCCCACAGAGACCTGGTCCCCACAGTCACCTGGTCCCCACAGAGACCTGGTCCCCACAGAGACCTGGTAGTATCATGGAGTCAGTCTGGACCACATGAAGAGACAGAGACAGGTTCTCTGGTTCAGTGGTTCCCAAAGTTTCCAGCCCATGTCCCACTTTCATGACGCCAACCCAGGAACAATGTGGAGGCTTTCTCTCTCTCCTTGTTTCCTTCTCTCTCTCTCTCTCTCTCTCTCTCCTTGTTTCCTTCTCTCTCTCCCTATCCTACTATTAGACAAATGATTTGTCGGCCCACTTGCAGTAGCTCTGCAACCCCCCACTGGGCCCCGGCCCTCAGGTTGGAAACCACTGCTCTGGTGCTTTAAACCTTTGTACAGTGCCGTCTCACATGTGACTGCAGCGACGTGAAAGAGCAGGATGATATGAAAACTGATGGTTAAACACACACACACACACACTGTCGTCATGTTTTTGGCTCGTTATCGCCCCCTGCTGTCAGTCGGTCATAAACCTGCTGCTCCTCCGTTCTGCTAACGGTTATTATCTAATGACTTTGGACCCAACAGAACTCTGTAGGGATCCTGATCAGGTTCCTGGCCCCCAATCTCAATCCAGGTCTGACATATGTGGTCTGATCCAGTACTTACATTCACACTGAAGCGACAGCCTGAAGGTGAGATCATTCCTCCTGAAACACACACAGCAGCCGAGGATTCAGGCGATGATTAAATATATATTTAAAATAAAACCTTGTTTCTCTCGAGCTGCTTCATCCAAACTCTGAAGCTCCTGGTTAAAACCGTCTGTTTCAGGATCTCAGTTCTTGAGCTGAGCTGTGCAGGAAGTGACGACTTTACCAGCGTAGAAGAAGAGAAACCTGTGCCAGGTGAGGTTCAGGTCCCTTAATACACAGACACAGGTGTTAGGAAGTAGAAGAAGAACCCGACAGAGGGGTTGATGCCTGTGGGATCGTTTTGAAATGAAACCCGTCAGTGTGTTTGGAGACTGTGACACACTGAGCCGAGCCTCCACCTGGACACACAGGTGGAGCGTCTGTCCACAGTCACATGTCTCCTGAAAACAGCTGAAATCAACCTGAAATATTCCAGGGTTGAACTTTTGGGCTGTTTCAGTTTTTTTGTGAAACATTCTGGTTTGAGTTTCTTCAGATTCACTTGTTCTATTTGTTGTGACGAGGCGCGATTTAAAAACTTGCTGCTTTTTTTTCTTGTGTATTTATTGTTATAAAATTCTGACAAACTGCAGCAGGAAAAAAAAAAAAGCTGCAGTGAAGCTTTTCTCATTTATTTCTTCTGCTTTAATCACGTCACGTATTTATTACGATGTTAAAACGCCAAATTAAAGACGAACGGTTCAACTGAGACGAGCAGATGCTTCCTGCTAAACCTGACAGGTGTTGTTGCTAATGCTAATTAGCTCATTTTGTTTTAAAATAACAATAATAACTAAACTCTAAGACTTTAAGTGACACGTTAGTTCAAACTGCTCACAAGCTGTCCTCCAGATTTGTACATGCTTTATACGCTGACTGCCTGAAAATATTGTATTTTGTGTAATTATCATTAATATAATTATTATTATTATTTGGAGCAATGACTAGTTTTTTAAACGACTCTTTGTGTTTGGTGACAGACTTGTAAGATACAGGTAGATATTTTTTTTTAAAGACGTTTTTTTTCCGTTTAACTTGAAAAGTGATTTTTTTTCTCCTGGGGTTTCTGCTGGTGTTAGTAGACGTACGATACGTGACTCCGCCTCTCAGAGCGGCAACACTTTGATTTCTGCTTTTTACCAAATGATCATCTCCAAAAATGCAGCTATTCTCCTGGCACAGTGCAAACAAGTCTGCTTTTCTTTTAGCCTCAGTTTTATACAACGGAGGATTAGGGCCACACTGAAAGAAACGGAAATAACGAGAATGAAGTCGCAATATTTGAAGAAAAAAAGTCATTATGAGAATATATATATATATTATAAAAAGACTTAATTCTTGTAACATTACGACTTTATTCTCGGAACATTACGACTTTGTTCTTGAAATTTCAGATTTCTTTTTGTTTCCTCAGTGCGGCACTAATACTCCGTCATAGTTTAATCTGTGTAAAAGGCTCAACAGAAACGGGATTTGTAGTTTTTAGGTATTCGAGTAGATCTATTTATTAATGTGGTGTAAAGGGAAATTTAAATCGTTGCTGAGCCGAAAGATCAAACATGATTTGTGTGATGAGTAAACACACGGAGTTGGTGGCTGCGGTTTAAATTCAGCTTTCCTATAAAATACTGTAAGAAATGAATGGAGTCTGTTTGTTTGTTCTGACACTTAAAATGAAGTATTCACTTTGATTTCCAACAGCAAACAGCTGGACACCACTGGCTCAGTCATGTGATGTCTGCATCCACACTGAAACGTCTGAATAACAGTAAACAGCTAAACGTCGGCTTTAGTCACTAATAACAGCAACACGACCGATCATCAGCAGCAGGATCAAACGTTCCTACAGGTTTAAACTGAAGTCTAAAATGTCTCTTTAACACTAACAGGCCAAAGTTTTCAGACGTGTCCAGTCAGATTTTAAACAGCTTCCCTGTGCGTGGGTGATGCTGGAGCCGCCTCCTCCCTGTAGAAAACTGGATCAGTCACTCAGCTTGTTTGACGTTCCTTCGCCTCCTCTGCAATTACCCATAACACACTGCTCTGAGCACATTCACTGTAACATTTTCATGCGTCTTTGCAGAACCATTCATTCCAGAACGGAGACACAAGCATTTTCAGATTCAGCCAGTTTACTGTCTTTAACCTCCTTGTTCCTCCTGTAGAAAACAAGCGCTCCCTCCAGCTGCTACAGTCTGTGAAATTAACCTGAAGTGAAACAAACTCATATTCAACAAGCAAAAACAGCATGTGTACATTTACATGACACAAACAGATCAAATGTTTTTATACAGAAGAGGATTAGGGCCACTTGTCTTTTTTCTTTTATTTCAGGGTTCTAACTTTAATCTTCTTGACTTTAAACATCAACTTGTGTTTGCTAATTAGCGTTTATAGAAGGGCAGAAAATAAAGGTGGTGTTTGCTTTAAAACATCATTTGAATAAATTAAACTTCAAAACCAGACTCCATCAACATTTAGTTTAACGATCGCAGCAACAGATCAGTGGAATCATTTAATCCAACTCCTTCAACCTAAACGACCGTATAGATCGTATTTTTCAAGCCTCTGATTCGACCCATAGCAGAGTCTCCTCCTGAATCTGCGCCCGACCGACCGCGCCATGCGTACCGGACCTTGGTTGCCATTGTTACAATAATAAACACGCGGACTGTAAGGAGAACGGCTACGACCTTTGTCACCATGGTTACTATAATAATGGTCATGGCTTGTTTAGGTTTAGGAAAATATGGTGATTTGGGTTAAAGAAGTAGCGCACTTCCTCAACATTAAACGATCTTTGTTGTCATGGTTACAAAAATAACCGCCATAACACGCTCTCTGTCATATTCCTGTGTTTTGTTGACTTTGTCTCTCTTTATACTACATCACCGACACTTTTCCCTTTGCTTCTGTCATCATTACTACGACGACTAGAGGTCGCCTAGCAACAAAACCTAACTATGATGTCATAACAACCTGCTGCACAGACGACCTGTGGGCCTGTTTCTTCTTCACAGGAGGACAGTCTCATTTAATGTCATTTACCATTTTACACTTTGATTATAAACCAGTATACAGATGTTGGGCGTCACCTTCACCACATGAACAGTAACACTCGCCAGGAGTGACGTAGGCAGCTGAACCGTCAGTCAAACTATGTTCACATTTATATTTTGTCGTCTTCAGTGGCCAAAAGCAGAAGCTGAACCTTCAAACTGAAACCTGGAACAAAACCTGTAAATTATTATTGTCTTTTGACGTGTACAGTGAAATGTTAAAGAGAGATTATAAAAGCTAATCAGGCTGTACATAAAGTACACACAGTACATAAAGTACACACAGTACATGAAGTACACACAGGTGTTTTCCTTTTTTCATGTTCTTTTTATTTTGAAATGGGAGAGTGACAGATTTATCAGTAACAATAAAGGAATATGTTGTATATCATGATGGTCTGTGTTGTGTTTGTGTTTATTCAACTCAACACGTTCACGTACTGAACAGCAACACACACACACTCACAGTGTTTCTCACCATCAGGAACAATTTGGGGTTTTGCCCGAGGACACTGACATGTGGACAAGCCGGGGATCGAACCTCCAACCCTGTGACTGGAGGACGAACCCTCTACTTACTGTGAAAGACATTAAACATAACAGAGACAAAAAATAGAAAAAAAACTAAATAATAATTAAAAACATTAATTATATTTAATGAGAAAAAAATGAACCTGAGCTGAGGAGAAAATAAAGAAGAAAGAGGGAAGTACAGTAAAGTAAAGTTAAAGTTGTAAATGTTAAAGTTTCCGAGAGGAATACAGTTTCAATATTAGTCATTCAGTATTATCAGATATTACTATAATAATAATATTAATATAACATGATGTATTGTACTAAAACATTTACCTCACTGTTTCCCAGGACATTGTAGTGTAATATAAATATGCGTAAAATATTTATTAATGCTTTGGAACAACATGCACATTCAGTTTATTCAGAGTAAAGTTGAGTCTCACTCATGTTCTCCTTGTGTAAACAAGCATCCATTTGTGACAGTGGGCTTTTACCTTTGATTTCACTGTGAATATTAATCCACCTTAGATTAATTATCCTTTTGAATAGGGACATGTAACAGGACGTAATTATATCGATAAAATGAAGAGGATTTAAAGTTAAAAAAAACATTAATCAAAGTAACAAAAATCAGCTCCCACACTTTTTTTTTTACACCACCTTTTCTCTGCACCTGTCTGTCACAGGTGTGCAAAAAAAAGGTCAAAAATACAAAGTGAGATTTGAGACAAAGCGTCACAACACCCCACAAAAACCTAAATAATAAGAAATTAAAATGATAAATATAATTATTGAAGATAAAGATATATAATAATAAATTAGTATAAAACAAACTTTAATTATTCGAAAGAGTTTTCCATCACAAACAGGAAACCAAGAGCATGAAGTGGCAGCTCCTTCCAGCAGCATCACAGTGTGGTTTCCTCTGTGTCCTCCAGGGGGCGGTGCTCTTCCTCCGATGAGCTGAGCCTGCCGCTGTAAACCGTAGAAGAAGAAGATGACTAGCTACTGTAAACAAAGCTAATCCGCCAGTCTGTTGAACAACTAAAAAACTAGTGAATGTGGAAACAGGATATGATCCGAAATATCTCTGCGTCACACTCAAGTAAGTGGAGACTGTGTTATTTACAAAAAAGCCGAACGATGGCGGGAGAATAAACTCATACACCTTTAAACTTAGTTGGCTAACTAACTAGCATAAACATGCTAAAGTTAACAGTGAATTAACAACACCCCGGGGTTCGGGCATCGCCCGGTTAACTCTCTGTTGTGTGTGTGTTTAGCTCGGTGTTGACATGGTTCGGTGTCGGTAGGTTTCATCGAGGTGACGTGTAAAAACCTGCCGGTGAAAAGGACCCTGACGATGTTTGGCTAGCTGCGCTAACGTTAGCACAGCTACACCGTGAACCCTCGGGTTTCTAAACGAAGTCGCTCCTGTGTTCACTGTCACTGATCATGAACCACGTCTCTCCGCAGTCCTCTCCACCCTCCGCCGTTCAGCCATGAGCCGGCCCGCAGTCTGACTGGAAGATAATGGCTGCAGAGCTGTTCCCCACTAAGAAGCTGGTCCCCCCCGCCTCAGCGAGCAGCACCACCTCCATCCAGCAGTACCAGCAGCAGAACCTGACCAACAACAACACCGCCTCCGCCGCGCAGGGCTGCTGCAACTGGCAGGGCCTGTACCCCACCATCCGAGAGAGGTGAGTGTCTGAACACCTGCCCTCCAGGTGCTCATCCACACAGCTGATTGGACAGTGTGGAGGAGCGGAAGCACGGCTCTGTCTGGGCCTTAACACCAACCCAACATGGTGTGAATGTCTCAGTGTGTCTGAGTGTTGTTCATCTTCTAATGGCTCCTTCCAGCAGTATCATGCTCCATGTCACAAACTGGTCTCATCCACATGATGGTGGGTTCAGGGAACTTCAGCTCGTTCCCACTGACCTTCTGACCAGTAAACACCACACTGCTGCACAGGGTTGTTATTCTCCTTTGCTAGGTGTTATTAGATTCACTGAACCATTGTTAAGCCTTTAAACTCATGTTGTAGCAGCTACTGTCCATTGAAGAAAGCTGAAAGAGAGTGGGCTCTTGACTGCAACACGTTTGTACGGATCCATTGTCTAGTCCATATGAGTTTGACACTGTTTATTTGAAACAACAGGAACTGATCAGCCTTTGTGTTGTTAGAAAACAGTCACTACAAAACATCAGAGCCTCACTTCCTCTCTTTTGTCTATCCCGACACACACATGGACAGGTGAATAAAGTGAAACCACACCCATGTGTCGTCTGCTGGAAGTGATAATCAAAGTTTGTCTCTCGGTCTCATCACAGTAAAGGAAAACAGTCCAATCTTGTTTGTTTCAGACTTTTGGAACCAAAGAGGCTCCGGTTCATCATCAGATTGGTGAAAAAACAATATTAGACAGTCTAGAATCAGTTCTGTGGTTCTCTGGTCCTGGAGCCTCAGTCCTGATTCAGACCCTCAAACCCTGACAGTCGAAGAACCACAGATTTATTACTGCTGCGTCACACACATGCAGATGGTAAATCACCGTCAGTGTTGATTCAAAACAGCAGGTCACCTGAGGGAGGAGGAAGCTCCATATGAATCTTTTTGTTCTTTATATAAAACACTGACAGTTGGTGAATTCTGTGTCTTTGTAGAAATTCAGTCATGTTCAACAATGAGATGATGGCGGATGTTCACTTCGTGGTCGGGCCACCTGGAGGGACGCAGCGAGTCCCAGGACACAAGGTAAAACCCGTCAGACTGCAGGTCTGTTCAGGAGCAGCTGTGGATTTAAAGGTTTTATAATATCATGTATGATTTTAGAAGATAACAATTTAAATATGATTTAAAATGTTTCATTATCTCAGGACAAACTCGTCTTAAAGAAAAACTGTGACTCGTTGGTGGATCTGTTGTGACTCAGTGTTTCGTGGAGCTCGTACGGTCCTGGACCAGATCCAGGTCTCAGGAGTTCATGTCAACAGTCACGTGAACCTTGATTCAGACGTTTCACCTTCAAGATTCAAAATCTCAACACAAACTATAAAGTGTGACAAAGACTGACTGACTCTTATAGAGGGGATGTTGGGGTAGATGGGAATTAAAGCTTCTAGTCAGCGATCACCTTCAAACCGATCACCTGTGTAGTGAAGCTCCGCCTCCCGCCGACAGGCCGCCAAAACGAAACATGTCGGCCGCGTGGAACTTTTACAGAGTGTGAGACGTGATAGAACGTACGACATCTGCAAGTGACTCACAGGTGATACTTACAATCTGAAAATGAATGAAGTCTTTAATGAGCCTGAAGATTTACCAGCCACATAAAAACAAAACGATTTAACTTTCAACTTGGTTTTCCATGTAGTTCATATGTTGTGACGTGGTAACGGACTGGAGAGCAGAGCAGTGAAGCTGAGTCACATGACCAGAGCTCCCAGCTGTTTGTCTCTGTGTGATGTCAATGTGTCCTCTCTCTCCCTCTGCTGCAGTACGTCCTGGCCGTCGGCAGCTCCGTGTTCCACGCCATGTTCTACGGCGAACTGGCCGAGGATCAGGAGGAGATCCGGATCCCTGACGTGGAGCCTCCTTCCTTCCTGGCCATGTTGAAGTACGTCCACCTTTGGATTCTCTCAGTAGAAATATCAGGCTCAAAACAAGGGTTCATATTTATTTCTGGTGACGGCGGCGTCTGTTTTTGACCTCTGCAGGTACATCTACTGTGATGAGATCGACCTCTGCGCCGACACGGTGCTCGCCACCCTCTATGCTGCCAAAAAGTACATCGTGCCTCACCTGGCCCGGGCCTGCGTCAACTTCCTGGAGACCAGCCTTAGCGCCAAGAACGCCTGCGTGCTGCTGTCGCAGAGCTGCCTGTTCGAGGAGCCCGACCTGACGCAGCGCTGCTGGGAGGTGATCGACGCGCAGGCCGAGCTCGCGCTGCGCTCCGAGGGCTTCTGCGACATCGACACTCAGACGCTGGAGAGCATCCTGCGGCGGGAGACGCTCAACGCCAAAGAGATGGTGGTGTTCGAGGCGGCGCTGAACTGGGCCGAGGCCGAGTGCCAACGACAGGACCTGTCCCCGACCATCGAGAACAAGCGCCTGGTCCTGGGGAAGGCCATCTACTTGATCCGCATCCCCACCATGGCGTTAGAGGACTTCGCCAACGGAGCGGCGCAGTCCGGTGTGCTCACGCTCAACGAGACCAACGACATCTTCCTGTGGTACACCGCCGCCAACAAGCCTGAACTCCTGTTCTGCACCAAACCTCGTAAAGGCCTGGCGCCGCAGCGCTGCCACCGCTTCCAGTCCTGCGCCTACAGGAGCAACCAGTGGCGGTACCGAGGCCGCTGCGACAGCATCCAGTTCGCCGTGGACAAGCGCGTGTTCATCGCCGGCTTCGGCTTGTACGGCTCCAGCTGCGGCTCGGCCGAGTACAGCGCCAAGATCGAGCTGAAGCGTCAGGGCGTGCCGATGGCTCAGAGGATCATCAAGTACTTCTCGGACGGCTCCAGCAGCACCTTCCCCGTCTGGTTCGAGTACCCGGTGCAGATCGAGCCGGACACCTTCTACACCGCCAGCGTGGTGCTGGACGGCAACGAGCTGAGCTACTTCGGCCAGGAGGGCATGACAGAGGTGCAGTGTGGGAAAGTGACCTTCCAGTTCCAGTGCTCCTCGGACAGCACCAACGGCACCGGAGTGCAGGGGGGGCAGATCCCCGAGCTCATCTTCTACGCCTGAGCCCGGCGGAGGGCAGGACGCCACAGAGATTCCCGCTTCGCCGCCATGATGAGTTTTATTTTGAAAGTGTGAAGACGGGTTCTCAGGAAGCTGTTGAAGGAGGGAGGGGCTTCTGGGAGGACCGTCCCCAAGAGACAGAGACCAGTTCCTCACATTCCTCCACCGCCTCTGTTGTTGTTGTTTCTCCACATCAGCTGTTGTTGTTATTGAGCTGTGGTCGCCGTGGTTACCACTTTCTCTTGGTTGCAAAGAAAAATCTTGCAGAGAACAGCCTCATGGGTAAACCGAGGTTACAGAGGAGTCCACACACACACACACACACACACACGCGCACACACACAGACGCGCACACACACACACACACACACAGGTTGGTGTGTTTGAAGTCTGACACTATTCTGTTTTTATCGTTGTCAACAGATGTACAGATTCAAACCTACGGAAGAGAAAGAATGTTTTCTAGAATTCTGAGATTAGTCAGAGTGGGGGGGGGGGGGGGGGTGTTCATGGTGATGAGGGAACGTGTGAGACTCTGATGTCTCTAATGGAGTCACAGACATCAGAGCTGGTTTTAACATAGTAAGAAAATACAGTAAACCACAACTTTAACATTAAACCTGATGAAAGCCATGCAGTCCTCTGTGAACGCCAGCTGCTGATTGGTCGATCAGTTACTTTGTTTCTTTCTTCACATAACATCATATAGATTTATAATCTGTTATATATCAATATTTAGTTTATAAAACATCAGAACACAGTGAAAAGTATTCATCACTGTTACTTGTTGTGTCTTAACGACAGTTCAACACCAACGATATTCAGTCAATTCAGTTCATGATAATTAATGAAGAAAAGAAGCAGAGAGAAGAACTGAACCCATTGATCAGTTATTGAAATAGTTGCCTTGATTGATCCATTACTGGACTGTAATTTGATTCATCTTGACCTGTAAAGCTCCATGTTTCTTCTTCTGTGTTTTATTTGAAGTGTTGATCCATCAGAAGATATAAAAACCATCTCAGTGTAGTTTTACATCTCCTCTCTCAGGCTTCTCTCTGCAGCTCTAGTAACAACAGGTCAGTGAGCCAATCAGAAGAGAGGAGGCTCTGAGCCTCTCTTCTGATTGGCTGACTGTTTTCTGAGTGATCCAATAAAAATATAGCAGATTTCAGGTAAAAACACTCAGAGAAACCAAATCCTGCAAGGTTTGGATGGTGGGTCCAGGTGGGCGGGGCTTGGTGACTGCTTTGTTGTGACATCACAAAGTTCCAGAAGTCCTGACGGCTGGTTTTAAGGCTCAGTTTCTGAATACAGGCTGTGTGCATTTCTCTGTGGACTGAGGCTTTGATACTTTCACAGTATTAATATAGAAGCTAGAGCTGATCTATAATCACACTACACATGGACACAGACCTTTACACTGGAGGAGCTTTAATGGATGAGTCGTGTCAGCAGGTGTAACACTTTAGTCTGTGGTGAAACCTTTTAGGTGTTTTTATAACACTCAGTTAAATGTGGATTTTAAACAGTAACATGTTCAGACAAAGATAATGAGTAAAACACAAAACAAACACTGCCATCAGTTCCTCCTCAGTGTGAACAGGTTTTCAGTTTCCCGCCTTAAAGATCATGTATTTAGTAAACTGCGTCTCACCCAGCTGATTCCTCCTCCTCCGCTGTTACTGAAGGGTTTTAAAAACAGTGAGGATCTGAAATAAAGTCTGGCTTTTCTGTCTCTCACCTGTGCAGGTGTTTTTGGTATTTAAAGCAGAATGAATAATGAGTTTTGTGTTTGTAACCAGAGAGCTCGTCACAGTTTTCTACACTCAGCTTCCCTTGGTGCTCCGTCCTGTGTCTGAGTTTCTGCTGTGACGTAAAATGCTCATTTAAAAGGCCATTTTACCCACAATTCACCTGAACTTCTACCTGTTGAGCATCACAGCAGATTATCAGAAATGATTCTCACACTTACTCTCCCAGTCTGTTTTTTGTGTTTTATTTAAACAAACACTGACCCTCAAAGATCACTACAGATGCTTTTACTTTGAAAACTTTTGATTCATTGATTTGCTCTTTTTCCTTTAACGTTGCCGTTGTGTAAATATGTTTCTGTGACTGTGTCCTAAAGCACTTCATCTAGTCTCTTATGGAGGACAAACTCTTTTATATCTGATTCTATATTGAGAAAAATATTTTTGGATGTTTTTGTTTCCTGTTGTCTGATTCCAACCAGAATGTGCAGTGAGTCTGTGGCCTTATGAATGTGTTTGGAAATAAAAGCTTCAACTGATCTGTGAGTGTGTGTATTCTGAAGTTATTGACACCTTACTATACTATGACGTTTTGTTTTTTACTTTTTATGCCGTACTATACTATGATTTTATGACTTTTTAATGGCTTAACTATACTACACTGTAAAAAAAGAAATTGTAAAAAAAACGGAATGAGCAGCAGCAGCTGCCAAACAAAAACCGTAAAATTAAAGTGAAATATCCTAATTCAAATGAAGTGTAAAAACAATAAATTTACGGAAAGTTTCATTAATATTTACAGAGAAAAACTGTTATTTTACAGATTTCTACTCATTCATTATGATCAAACTCCTTCAATAAAGTGACGCCACTAAAGTTTCTGCAGAGAAACTTTTTCCTAATAATAAAATTAAGTGTCAATCAATGAAATATTAACACAAGCTTAATATTGTAAAGTAAACCTTTTGTTTTGGAAGACAAAGTAAAAAATACTGTGTAAAACAGATTAAAATCATCTCAAACTTCAACTTGCAGTATTTGTGTCAACATTGAATCTTTAAGTTTGTAAAGTAATGTTAAAACCTGTAGAAGCACAATCTAAATACAATATTTACTGATTTAGATTCAGATCAATTTTCTTACATTTCTCATAAAATATAATAAACTGAAGAAATGCAAATTAAATTGTTAAGTCTCTGTATGTAGTCTTTCAACTAAAGTGGGGTTGGAAACTTAATAACAAATAACATACGCACCACTATTGACTTTATAACACTTTTATTTAAGATAGTCAGATGTAAATTTACAATATCAACCAATTATTCACAAATAGTTCTTCAGAGCCCCGGGATGATCTGAAGAACTAAAACTGGCATTTCTCCATTGGTCTATCTTGCCTGTTAAGGTTCCTATAATGAGGAGGTGATGATGTCACCTCTGAAAGAGGGGGGGCTGTGGAGCTGAAGGGGGGTGGTCTGTTGTTTTTTAGCTTGTATCTTCCAATTCAGTTTTATCTTGTTTTCCACAGTATTCTCCATGTAGTTTTTTTATGCCTTATTATACTATTACGATTTTTTCACTTTTTATGCCTTACTATACTACGACGTTTTTAAAAAAAAATTTTTGGATTATTATAATGTAACGTTTTTATTTTTTATTTTTTAGGCCTTACTATACTATGACGTTTTTTTCACTTTTTATGCCTTACTATACTATGACATTTTTTTTTCACTTTTTATGCCTTACTATACTATGACGTATTTTAATTTTTTTTTGCCTTATTATACTGTGAGATTTTTATTTTTTATTTTTTATGCCTTACTGTACTGCGACATTTTTATGATGTTTATGCCTTACTATACTATGTCATTTTTATGACTTTTCATGCCTTGCTAAAATATGACGTTTTTTTCAATTTTTCATGCCTTACTATACTATGATGTTTTTATAAATTTTTATGCCTTACTATACTATGATGTTTTTATGACTTTTTATGCCTTACTATTCTGTGACATTTTATGCCTTACTATACTATGACGTTTTCACTTTTTACTGCCTTACTGTACTATGACGTTTTTTTCACTTTTTATGCCTTACTATACTACGACGTTTTTAAAAAAAATTTTTTGGATTATTATAATGTAACGTTTTAATTTTTATTTTTTAGGCCTTACTATACTATGACGTTTTTTTCACTTTTTATGCCGTACTATACTATGACGTATTTTAATTTTTTTTTGCCTTATTATACTATGAGATTTTTATTTTTTATTTTTTATGCCTTACTATACTGCGACATTTTTATGATGTTTATGCCTTACTATACTATGACGTTTTTATGACTTTTTATGCCTTACTATACCATGATGTTTTTATGACTTTTCATGCCTTGCTAAAATATGACGTTTTTTTTCACTTTTTATGCCGTACTATACTATGACGTATTTTAATTTTTTTTTGCCTTATTATACTATGAGATTTTTATTTTTTATTTTTTATGCCTTACTATACTGCGACATTTTTATGATGTTTATGCCTTACTATACTATGTCATTTTTATGACTTTTTATGCCTTGCTAAAATATGACGTTTTTTTCAATTTTTTATGCCTTACTATACTATGACGTTTTTATGACTTTTTATGCCTTACTATACCATGATGTTTTTATGACTTTTCATGCCTTGCTAAAATATGACGTTTTTTTTCACTTTTTTTGCCTTACTATGCTGTGACATTATTATGACTTTTATGCCTTACTATACTATGATGTTTTTATGACTTTTCATGCCTTACTATACTATGATGTTTTTATAAATTTTTATGCCTTACTATACTATGATGTTTTTATGACTTTTTATGCCTTACTATTCTGTGACTTTTTATGCCTTACTATACTATGACGTTTTTATGACTTTTTATGCCTTACTATTCTGTGACTTTTTATGCCTTACTATACTATGTCATTTTTATGACTTTTGATGCATTACTATTCTGTGACATTTTTTTCACTTTTTTATGCCTTACTATACTATCATGTTTTTATAAATTTTTATGCCTTACTATACGATGACTTTTTTTTCACTTTTTATGCCGTACTATACTATAACGTTTTTAAAATTTTTTTTTGCCTTATTATAACATGATATTTTTATTTTTTATTTTTTATGCCTTAATATACTATGAAGTTTTTTTCACTTTTTATGCCGTACTATACTATAACGTTTTTAAAATTTTTTTTTGCCTTATTATAACATGATATTTTTATTTTTTATTTTTTATGCCTTAATATACTATGAAGTTTTTTTCACTTTTTATGCCGTACTATACTATAACGTTTTTAAAATTTTTTTTTGCCTTATTATAACATGATATTTTTATTTTTTATTTTTTATGCCTTAATATACTATGAAGTTTTTTTCACTTTTTATGCCGTACTATACTATAACGTTTTTAAAATTTTTTTTTGCCTTATTATAACATGATATTTTTATTTTTTATTTTTTATGCCTTAATATACTATGAAGTTTTTTTCACTTTTTATGCCGTACTATACTATAACGTTTTTAAAATTTTTTTTTGCCTTATTATAACATGATATTTTTATTTTTTATTTTTTATGCCTTAATATACTATGAAGTTTTTTTCACTTTTTATGCCGTACTATACTATAACGTTTTTAAAATTTTTTTTTGCCTTATTATAACATGATATTTTTATTTTTTATT